CAAAATTCACACGTTTACCCCCGTAATATGTGCACGATCGGAGCGGGTACCAGACAAGGCGCGCAGTGGCCGAGCCGGCTGGGGCGTCGCTCGAGCTTCAAATCCGGCCCGCTTTCACCTAACTTCTCGTTCTTCGTAACTAAGAGACGTGAAATAAAAGGGCAGTAGTTCTTAGATGGATGGATTGATTTTTGAACACTCTTAAAAACTGGTCTTTTTGGTATGGTTTATGAGGAATTTACTTTAGAGCAGAAACGGTGGCAGATATACAGCACATCTGAGAACTGGTTTCGGTTGAGAATATGTAGTCTTGGGGGGTGCGAATCACAATAATTTTGCTCATTGATGTCGTCTTTCTGAATTTACACACTTTCGCAATGTGCACACTTTAGACTTTTGTAAACGTCTCAATTGTGCAAACAACTCTTGTGCCTGAACACATTCAAAGATCTATTTCACAAACATTGATGCACTAGTGTGGTTTTGACAAAAATGGGCGACAAAATTTCAACCTTGCATGCACATTTGTAAAAGAGGATCGGAAATCGGAAAATAGTAGAGGAACTATTCCTCCGAAACCACCTTGGTCCAATAAGGGTACCACCACGTTGGGGATGTAGAGACAGCCACTCTAGAAATGGCAAAGAACGTAAATTCTCCTCGTACTAGCGGGCCGTAGGCGAGGCCGTAGGCGAGGCCGTAGGCCCGTATATTCGATCATGTTTATCCAGTACTCGACTCGGATGTCAACGCCTCAGGCCAAGGTAGATGTATGCCAGACGTAACAGTGTTTTTTGAGATATCGCGAAGCCTGTTACGCGAGACGTGGTCCGGCGTACTTCTACCTTGTAGTATGTGGAACAGTTTTTATAGTGTACACTGCTAACCTTTGTTTTGTTTGCAGGAGCCAGCTGTGGGCACGCTGGTGCCCGGGCTGGCGGTGGCGGGGGGCGGCCCGATGCTGCAGGCCACCCCCGCCCCCGCCACGGTGCCCACCCTCGAGCCCCCGGCGGCAGACCAGCGCCGCAGGTCAAGTGGGGCCCTCCTCGGGGCTCTCGGAGCGCTGGCGGACAACACTCTGCACGCCATGCCCAGGTGAGAGAGTTTTCTTGATGGCTCAGCGCAGCGCAGCCAAGTTAAACTCCGGTAAATTTTGAACAACACATAATCTAGCTCCATCCTTAAACATCTATAGGATTACCACAACAAATTGATGCCTTAGACTGAGAGGCACGCAGTTCAGACGCGCGATCCGAAAGACACGCAGTTTACCGCTCCAGAGATAGGAACTGCGTGAGTCTGGGAACGGCCGGCTGAACTGCGTGCCTTTCGGAACGCGCGGCTGAACTGCGTGCCTTTTAGTCTAAGGTATCGAAATAATACTTTTTATATTATTTAAAACCATTAATTGAAGTGTATGTGTTGCTTCATGTCCAAATCTGGCTAGGATTGGTTCATGTTGCGTGTACATTAGGATCTTGAGTTTCTTCGATTAAGAAATACACCTGTAAGAGTAGTAACTCCGCGTGCGAGGCTCATGCTCATCTGTACGAGTGCGTGAGTGAGCTGCGTCCAAGGTCTGGCCTCACCCACACAAACCTTGCGAACGATTTGTTGCGAAGGATCATCAAGAAAGTGCGTCCGCCATCTGCCGTTATGGAATTGCCAAGTTCAGCCAATGCCATAAGGTCTTAAGACGCCTAATAGGTAGGCAACATCTTGCCTTCCATGCAGGTGTGTACTGCGGGATGGCCTACCCCGAGTCTCGCAGGCGTCTTTTAGGTAGACTGGTGGCTGATTCACGCCGCACACTTTCGTAGCTACCGCATGCACACGTACACGTACGGGCGAGTTTGCCTATGCTCGCTGCCTAGGGCTCCTTATGGCCCCGTGAGAGAAGGCAGCCCGCCCGCAAGCGTGCATGCGGTACAGTATGCCTACAAAAGTGTGCGGCGTGCGGCGTTAATCAGCCACCTGATATGAAAACAAACGTGTCCAGGAGCTGTGTGACTTAAGTTGCACAGTTTCTACAGTCATGCAACGTAAGTCGCACACTTACTTGCTGGACACCCTCGATTTACAGTGTAAAGGCTTCGTCCAAATATGCGACGCCCCCCCCCCCCCACCCCCATTGCACCACTGCGTGCGGTAGGCAGATCATTGGTACATTTTCCTTCCAAAGCATCGCCCAATCGCTTACGTTGTGCAAAGGGTCTTCCTATTTTTTTGAAAATTACTCGAAGATGGAAAAATGATAAAATTCAAAACCCGACCCGCCCATGTCGTGAGCGACTCCCCACACTCTTTCCCTCTCCCCCACCCGCTTGCCTAGATATAGTGTGCAACTGGCGTGCACACGCAAGTGTGTCACTGAACATTTTAATACTAAGTGTTCATTAGTACAAATGCACAGTTTAAAGTGTTCTACTTTCAGGGTTAGCCGTAAACTTTGGACACTTTAATACTTTCTGTGCGAAGCCCTTTTCTTGAAATAATCTTAATTTTCATCAGATAGCGCCAAGAACTTTAGAGTGGTCCAGTCCTACACCTAAGACGACCGTGCACTATAGAGTACTGCCCTGTGCGTGCGTGCACGCCAGTTGCACACTTGTGTTTTCAGTGCCCCTCCCATCCGGAAGAGGTGGTGTGTCATGCGCGGCAGCAAGGGCAGCAAGGCGGTGGTGGACAGCACCGGGCCCTGGTTGCGGTGGCGTGGTGTGCTCTGTTGACAAGCAATAATCCCGAATCCCGTCCTCCTATCACGAACCCTCGACGCACAGGGGTGATCCAGGGATCAAGCGGGCTGGTGTGCTCACCCCTGTAATATGCAGCACCAACCCTAGATTCTTACACTGTAAAAATACTGACTAAATTTTCATCGTGCTCATTCATCGTATTATTTTAGTTTTGATAAGCAAGTGTGTGTCATCATTGTATCTGTAGTCATCATTTTGACAAAGCTGTTTTCTGACTGACCAGTTTTGTTCTAGCGTGGTTCGGCTGGGACACATTCTGTTCCGCTCTTTTGTTACGGGCGAGTGATTCCCCCCGCAGTCTTGCACCCTGCTCTGCTGTGTTAGCGCTCGCCTCCACCACACCGGAAGCGGGGAGCAGTAGAGGCAATAACAACTTCCCGACGAAGCAGGACATGGGGTTGACTACTTCCGGTTTCCGTTCGATTGAACAGATTGAATCAGCCCCCTCCCCTCTCCCCTTTTCCTCCTTCTCCTTATCAAAAATTGCCGTTCAGTTTCTGGCAGCTGTGAAAGGATGGAGAAAATGGGAGGGGAGACAGGAGGTGGGGCCGCACGAAGCAGCTGTGCTCCTCGGGTCCATATCGTTCCCGGTTTTGCCCCCCTTTTTTACACTCTCTTCATTTTATTCCGCCCCTGTCTCTCTTTAGTCACACTCCTTGGTTCGCGCGAAAATCTCATGCTTAAAGCTCACTTCAGTCCCGTGCTCTACGCCTGACTCCAGTCGAAGCAGTCCTCCAGTGCCACTCTAGCCTCTCGAGACCTGCTCCAGCCTCACGCCGGGCGTACTCCAGGCCCCCTTGTCCAGCTAATACGGAGCGATGGGTTTAGGGGATGATCCCCTCCCGGCGCGGCTCCTAATGAATCATATTATTTAATTGTGGAAGTGGCATCCCGGCGTGCGTTAATGGGGTTAGATCACGGTGAGAGAGAGGGAGAGAGAGGGGGG